CTATCCACTGAGCCAAACTGGCTAGGGCAGTACCACACTTCTTATTTCTATAGCTTTGTGGTGTCAATTTTGGAAATCAGGTAGTGTGAGACCTTCAACTTTGTTCTTTTTCACGATATTTATATCTCATTCGGTCCCTTAAAATTGTTATATGAATTTAAAGAGATTTTTATATTTCTGTAAAAAAAAAAATCCATAAAACCACCATTGAGATTTTTATAGGGATTACATTAAATCTATGAAGCTCTTTTATTAGCTGGGTGGACGATAATAACTATTTTCTGCTACAAATCATAAGTCCAGTTGCTTATGAACTTAAAAAGATCCATAATTATGACATGTCTGCATTTAATGTTTTATTTTGCTTTACTCTGTGAATATTTGTTATTTCATAACTAAGAGAGGGAAAAGGGCTGCTCCATTCTTATCTCACTTCTTAAGATACTATGTGGGAATAGATAGGTCTATTTAAAGCCGTAGGAAAGTTACATAAGTTCTCATATTTCAATGACAAGTGATAGTATTTTACTATCAGATATTTTTTAAGATTCAAAGATAGTACAAAGGCCATATAATCCTTGAGTTGTCTCATAAAACAAACAAATTGACTAGCTGATGCCTGTCCTAGAGCAGTCTCTCTTGTTGTTGGAAGGAAAGAACATTTATAATAGTGGTTTACTTCCATGCTTTGGAACTTTGCCTAACTTTGCTCCCTGTTGAACAAAATTTGGAATTCATCTTATAGCATGAAGACCTGGCTATGAGTATATTCAAATTTATTGGCTTACCACATTTGAAAGCCTCTCATTTGAGAAAAGTAATGTGTTGCTCTGGGAGGTGTTGAGGTGTGTTAGCTACATTCATGTCTTGGCTCCACCATTTATTAAGAGACAATGGCCAAGTCTGAAACTGTGAGACTTATCTTCCATTTCTTCTATTGTGACTATGAAAGACATGCATATGAAGTTCACTATACATGTTTTAATTCTTCTTGTTTCAGACACTGTCGCATGAACCCAAGGTCCTTCAGGAGGGTCTCCTTCAGTTGGACTCCATCCTGTCCTCTTTGGAGCCCTTACACCGCCCAATCGAATCTCCTGGGGGTTCAGTGCTGCTGCGAGAACTGGCTTGTGCTGGCAATGTCACTGATGCTACCCTCTCAGCTCAGGCCACACCTCTGCTGCATGCACTCACTGCTGCCCACGCCTACATCATGATGTTTGTTCATACTTGCAGAGTTGGACAGGTAAGAGTTATCTTAGGGGTAAACATGTTGGTTTAAAGGCAGTGAAATACCTAGGGTGTCCATGTGGCATCTTACTGTGCTTAGCAGTTCTACCTAGGCTAGCTAATGAAAGAACAGCTTTAGGGTAAGATTTTTTCTTTCCCATGGTTGACTTAGGTCTATGCTTTAACTTTCTGTCTAGTTTCACTTTCCCTAAGTATTTTTTTTTTTATTCATTAGAAGTTGAGTGACCACATATTTGTTTTGTGAACCCGACCTTTTTAAGCGTAAAAGGGGTTGGTTTAAATAGCAAATATGTAGCATTCATATGGACCGCCTGGAATGTATAGTTAATCTTTGAAGCAGGCAAGCCTCATCTGGCCTGTTACTTCCTAATCTTTCTACAAATGCCTGAGGCTTGATAATGGGATGCCAAGAAGGAAGTTTGACAACAGAACATTTAAGTCAATGTAAATGAACAGATTACTAAAGATTTCCCAAATACAAACCCTATGCCTACAGTCCTTGTGAGGTTCATCTTGTGATTCCAGAAATGTGGGTTTATTTGTGTGCTCACAGTTTTACTATCTTTACTCAAGTAATCTATTGTAAAGATTAATGGTACAATATTTTAGCAGCCCTGTTTTATTCTATTGAGCAGAAGTATATTCATTGAATCAAGTCAAATGAAAAGCAGTCATAAATTCTTTAGAAATACTTAGACTATATACCAAAGCCTTAGGGATTCATTTTTCTTAATTAAATGAAATGTTTAATTGAATGAATTAAATAAATCTAAATATTTATTGAAATAAATGATGGAAATAGCATGCCCCCATCACCGAAGAAATTAGAAAGCTGTCAATGAATTTACAAAACTGTTTGTTTGACTTGGAAAAATAAGGTTACCTATGACTTCTGTTTTTCACTTTACAAAAAGCAATTAAAAGAGATGTTAGAGTCAGATTATAAATATTGTCAAAGAATACCGTATGGAACTGTGATCTTAAATGTGGAAGCTTTTTTGAAAAAGACAACTGTGAAAATAATACAGAAGGGAAAATAGAATCCTTCATCCTTGTTAAACAGCTGATTTTGAATATAATTATTCAGAGATCAATCCAAAGATCATCTTCTTTTTACTTTGGTTGCAGAGTGAAATTCGTTCCATCTCCGTAAACCAGTGGGGTTCTCAGTTGGGTCTGAGCGTTCTGAGCAAGCTGAGCCAGCTGTACTGCTCCCTGGTGTGGGAAAGCACTGTCCTCCTCTCCCTGTGTACCCCAAACAGGTAAGGGATTGGTCAACTCTTATTTCTTTCCTAACGGAAAAACTAAGCTCAGTGAGCCTGGAGTATTGGTCTTCAGTCAAGGATAGAAGTGTATAGGAAAGAGTTCAGAGGCTTCCTTGTCTGTCTTCGTCCGTTCTGGCTGCTATAACAAAATATCACAGACTGGGTCCTTATAAACAACAGAAATGTATTGCTCAGGGTTCTGGAGGCGGGAAGTCTGAGATCATGGCGCCAACATGATTGGGTGAGGGCCCCCTTCCAGGACACAGACTTCTTGTTGTAACCCCACATGGCAGAAGGGACTAAGGACACTAGTCCCATTTGTGAAGGTTCCACCCTTGTGACTTAAGCACCTCCCAAAGGCCTTTCCCACTAATACCATCACATCTGCATTAGGGTTTCAATATATCAAGTTTAGGGAGGGGCACAAACATTCAATTTGTAACATTGTCCTCACCAGCCTAGGGACTTACCTAAAAATCTGATTTATGTATCTGTTTTATGATGAGATAACATAGTGGCTTTTAAAATTTGGCCTGTTGTTAACCATATTGAAAAATTTGAGTTGGAAACCTGTTGAGTGCTACTTCAGGAATTCTATCATTGAGATGTTCTGTTAGGTCAACTTGCCTGCTATAGGAAGGATAGTGTCAACTAAGCAAGTTAGAGACCAAGCACAACATAAGATATGAACTATTATATCTAAGTTTTTGGGCTCACTATTTCTCTTGTGGCAGCCTACCATCTGGGTGTGAATTTGGCCAAGCGGACATGCAGAAGCTGGTTCCAAAGGATGAGAAGGCAGGTACGACCCAGGGCGGAAAAAGAGCAGGTAACTCCAAGAAACTAAAATCTCAGACGTTCTTTTAAGTTCTGTCTGTCTTTACAGGTCGGTTTGAAAGTTTAGTTTAACATTCTAACACCTCTAATCCTTAATTTTTTCCTTTCATTGTTTTTTTTTGTTTTTGTTTTTTTAATGTTTTTATTTATTTATATTTTTTTAGAAAGGGAAAGGGAAAGGGAGAGGGAGAGAAAAATGTCTTGTCAACTGCCACCTACATGCCCCCTACTAGGTAGGGAGTGAGTGCATAATCCAGGCATGTGTCCTTACCAGGAATCCAGCCTGTGACCTTTTGGTGCAAGGGACAATGCTCAACTAACTGAGCTGCACTGGTCAGGGCCCTTTCATCGATTTTTAATTATTTTAAAAGTTAGCTTTTTATCAATTTTTGTATAAAAATATATACACACAGTGGTAAAAATTTGAAGGTGTAGTAGAAAGAAGAATCACCCATATTTGTACCACACAAAATATAATATTTTGAAAGTGTCTTTGTAAGCTTTTACCCTGAGGATATATTTTATTAACATAGCTACAGTTGTCTTAGATACAACATTTTACAGATCTCTTTTCACTTAACATTAAGTGTCATTAAGGTACAAGGAATTAATCATTCCCTGTTAAATTTCTAATGTACAATTTGAAAAGTGAACATCTTTGTATGTAGTGTTATGCAACTCTCAGATTGATTCCTAGAAATTACCCTATCAAAGGGTATGATGGGACTTTAATTTTTGTATATGCTTGTTTTTCAGCTAAATAATTTTTAATTGGCTGTGGCACACTAAAACCACAATGTCCAATATGGTAGCCTCTAACTATGTATGAGTGTTGAATACTTTAATATAGCTAGTACAACTAAAAAACTAAATATTTTTCTTACTTCTTCATTCTCCCCCACCCTCCTGTCTCCCTCTCTCTTTTTTTCTTTTATTAAGGGGAAGGTGGTAATGGGTTGAAATTTGTCCCCCCTTCCACTACCACCACCACCCCCTGCAAGCTCCTTAGAATATGACCTTATTTGGAAATAAGGTTGTTTCAGATATACCGTATTTTTTGGACCATAAGACGCTCCGGACCATAAGACGCACCAGTTTTTAGAGAAGGGAAATGAAGAAAAAAAGATTCTGAAACAAATAGTGTCCTAAAATATTTTATGTGCATTAAAACCCAACATCACAGTCATAAACACATGTAATCAACCCTGTAAAGTAAACAGCAGCATTTAGAACCATTTTAGAGCCGGGCAAGCACACAGAGACCACACAGAGCCGGGCAAGTAAAAAAAACTTTTTCTTAAAAGTATATGTGTAGGCTATATTTGGACCATAAGACGCAGGGACTTTCCCCCCCCACTTCTGGGGGGGGAAAAGTGCGTCTTATGGTCCGAAAAATATGGTAGTTAATTTGAGGTCTTAGGTTGGGTGGAGAAAACTGAATTTTTAATTTTTATTATTTTAAATGTAACCATTGTTACCCTGTTCTCTAGTTGGAAGACTTTTAAATATGTTTGGAACAAGTTGGGTATGTAAATCTTTTTTCAAACTAAATTGTATTAAATATAAACACATATCAATTATTATGAACTATAAAATAGATACCATTTTAAAGTATTTAGTATAGAATGTAAAATCTTGAGAATTTAATTTGGATTAAAAGTATATTAAAATTATACTTGTTTCTATTTACATTTTTATATGGATAGTAGAAAATTTAAGATATATATAACTCATTATATTTCTAATAAACAGTGCTAGTTTAGAAAATAGCTTTTATGTTATAGCACAATACAAGTTCCAAATTTCAATAAGCAGAAATGATACATAATTTTCTGACCCTAATATAACAAACGTAAAATTAATAAAAGCAGCTTTTTTAGGAAGTTTTTTCTCCTATATTCTGCATTAGGGAGGAAATCCTTTTGATAAACTATCCTAAAGATAATTTTATGTATAAAAATGCATCAGATATGCTTTAAACTTTATTGAAATTACTAAAAGTGTAAATTAATAGATAGCAGATGTTCTATCTAATAAAGAGGGAATATGCTAATGGACCCTCGTGCCATCACAAAGATGGAATATGCTAATTGATTGTCCCGCCCTCAATGATGGCGACCCCCACAGCAACAAGATGGCAGCGTCCAGTACCCTCAGCTTCACCAGGGCACCTGGCTCCGAAGTCCCCCAGTCCCCTCAGCTACCTAGGGTCCGCTCAAGGTGCAGGTAACCAGGGCCTGCCAAGGCTTGCGCTGCCAGCAGTGGCAGCAGCAGAGGTGTAATGGGGAATCACCTTCCCCTGATTGCCAGGTCGCCTGGCAGGCCATGCTAGGAGACCCCTCTCCAGTTCATGAATTTCCATGCACCGGGACTAGTAACTTAGGAAACAAATAAGGACTGATGTTACAGTATGGAACAGGTTACAGAATTAATAAAATATATACACACCTGACAAGGTTAATTTTGGAGAAAATGAACCAAACCAACAATTAGAGTATCAAAATACATCAAATTTAACTCAAGAAAAAGAACTGAGAACAAAATTAAAATAGTGTCAAAGGATTACCTTCTCTAATCCATGCACATTTTTCCCAGCAGTGTCTTTCGCACATGAAACCAAGATGACTCAGTTTGCACTTAGTTTTTCCAGAAAACTTGGTGGGGTGTTTTATAACATTCACCTAAAGCCAATTCTTAAATCTAAGAGTACACACACACACCCAAAAAATACATATCTCACATTTATGTACAAAAATCATAAGTTCTAGGTTTTATATTTCTACAGTGGTGTAATCTATGACATGTGCCATGAGTTTACTAATAAGCTATAGAATTCTTGCAGGGCATGCTCCCTGACAGTATGAGGGCACCATGCACATTGTAGTCGGCCTAAGGGGTACCCCTGGATTTTGAAGTGCCTGCAGTCTTCCACAGTAGCCTTGGATTAAGGCTGTTCATAAGCTTTCATTGGGAGATGTCAGTATTAGCTAAAAAGAGCTCCAAGGAGAGAAGCATATCAGTATAGTTTGGGATTTTTTTGTTTTGTTTTTTGTTGTTGTTTTTTGTTTGATTGTTTTGGGTTTTTTTGTTTGTTTGTTTTTTCTTTTCAAATTTAGGTAGATTCTTTTCAGATTTGGGACTCTTCAGAACAAGGAACCAGGTAAATGCTGGTTTCACATGGTCTTACTGGTCTTCTCTTCTGTCTATAGATGGGGAGCAGGATGCCACAGCTGCAAGTATGGATGCTTCTACCCAAGGCTTGTTGGAAGGCATCGGGCTTGATGGTGACACACTGGCTCCTATGGAGACAGACGAACCTACTGCTTCAGACTCCAAGGGCAAATCTAAAATCACACCTGCCATGGCTGCCAGAATTAAGCAAATCAAGCCTTTATTGTCAGGTGAGTGATTCCTTTTTCCACTCCCTTTTCTGGCTTTCAGAGCCTTAACCGGTTCTCAAACAAATTGAGTTGGTATGGCTGTATTTGCCCATTCCCATTAAGGAAATTTAAAACTTTGGTGGCTTGCCTTGGCTGATGTTCCTCAGTGCATTGGCCCAAGCATCAAAGGGTCGCTGGTTCAATCCCTGTCCCTGGTCTGCCCTGGTTAGGGTGCATGTGGGAGGCAACCAATCCATGTGTCTCACATCAGTGTTTCTCTCTGTAAAAATCAATGGAAAAAATATCCTCGGGTGAGGATTACAAAGGAAAAAACTTTGGTGGCTCGTTTTTAGGTATACTTTATTGAGTGTACTATGTGATAGGTTCTGTATTTATTGCTAGGGATTCAAAGATAAGAGAATCACTTACTAAAAACACTCTACCATTTCCCTATCTATAGTTCCTTCCCTGCTATTCATTCTTCAACTGCAAATGGCTTCTGCTTCCACCAATTCTACTGAAATGTCTTACCAAAATACCTACAACCTCCTTAATGCTAAGTTTCTTGTATGTTTCAGACTCCTTGTCACTTCTCTATTGCATGATAGTTGACCTTCTTAAAATGCTCTTTTCTTGACTTTTGTAGTATAAAACTCTACTTTCCAGTTACCTGTTTTGCTATTCCATCCAGTCTTCTCTTTCTCTGTCCCTTATACATAGCAAGTGACATGGTTAATTTATTTGTATTTTAGTCAAGTCACTTTGACAACTCTGGAGATCACATTAGCATGATACAAGACCACATTAAAGATGTACACTAATCTGTCTCTGCCATTTTTTTTTTGCCCTTTAATGTAATATCAATGTTTGGAGGGTCTGTTTTTTCTGTTCCTCGGTATTTGCCAGTTTCTGCCACCTTAATGTAGAGGAAATTGAAGGTGTTAAATTTAGACTCTGGGAGTCGAGCTCGGCCCCAAAGCAAGCAGAAAACAGCTTTTGTTTGGCGTTGCCATTTGTTATCTTAAAACCCCTTGAACATTCTGTTCTAATTTACGTAATTCTACTCCTTTTGTTTTAATTTGGAAACCTACCACTACTAACCCAAACGGAAGGAAGATTGACCTAGAAGATGGCTCCCCTTTCTTGGTTAGATGTCTTGGACTATGTATGCTATGTATGACCTTGGGTAATTCTAAGGTTTCTGTGTGGGTCCACCTCATGATTTTGATGTCTATTTTTTTGTGGTTGCTGACCTTGCTGACTACCTTTGAGCCACTTTGGTGTCTGGTCAACCGAAGGCAGTGGTGAAAAAAGTACAAACTTAAGTTTGGGTGCATTAGATTTTTAGAATCTGGGCGTATTCAATCTCTAACCAGGTAATGCAAGTATTCAAGTATGGAGAATTATTTTAAGAAAAGCAAGTTAATGCAAAAATATAATATGCCTAGGCATATCTTCTTTTTTCTATCCATTTCCTTTTACATGTTTTTTGGATTGTACTTTTTGGTTCAACCGTATATACTTGAAATTCTCAACCTTTTTCATCTTGTGGCACACATAAATTAATTACTAAAACACTCAGCACACCCCAAAATATATTTTTTGCCAATCTGACTTAAAATTGGTATGATTTTGATTAATTCACACTGCTGGCTATTGTTGTATTGGCTGTAGTCACTTTTTTATTTGACAATCTAATGGAAACGAGGTAAGTGCCCCTGACTAAATAGTCAGGAATTTTAGGTTTTAAAAATTCTTGTGACACATGGCATGCTGGTTGAAAATCACTGACATAATACCAAAAACATTTCCCAAAAATAATTTGAAATACTTATAATCTACCTAACACCTTAAGAAAGCCACTTAAAATTGTTTATGCTTTTCCTAGCTGTCTTTTTCCCTTTGGGGACCATATCTGTAATGTAAAAGGACAATATATAATATGTATGATGTTCTTTTCTGGTCTGTCATTAACATTTTTGTCATTTTTAAAGTTCTCTGTAGGCATTATAAGTGACTTCATAATAACCCAGTAAATGTATTATTTACTTAAGTAGTTCTTACTGCTATATTACTCTCTGCAAAGGTGGTTTCAATTTCTACTTCCTCTAGCAGTCTGAATATTTGTCTTGTTTGACTTTCATGTTTGTTATATATCCAGCGCCAAGACATGTCTCTGTCTCCTGCCTTTGAAAGAGGCATTTATTCCCTGTGGAACTTCCCTTTTGGATTTTGATGTAGAGAGACAAATCCAGGTGTTTCCTACGTGTTGGCTGGCAGGAAGTGGTCAGTCATAAAAATGTATTAATGCTAATGTGTCTGTTATAAATGAAACTAATTCTGAGAATACTGTCCGCCTTATTCTAACTTTTGGATTCCAGCCTCTTCTAGATTAGGCCGAGCACTTGCTGAGCTGTTTGGACTCCTTGTTAAACTCTGTGTGGGGTCTCCTGTCCGCCAGAGAAGGAGCCATCATGCTGCCAGCACCACCACAGCACCGACACCCGCTGCTCGATCAACCGCCTCAGCCCTCACCAAGCTCCTCACAAAAGGCTTATCTTGGCAGCCTCCACCTTATACACCGACTCCCCGCTTCAGGTAAGGTTCTGCTTAAGATCCAGAGTCAAATTGTCTTGGTGGGCTCTTTCTCTAGCTGTGTTCTGCAAATACAGTTTAGGGACCTGTTTTGGTTCTACTTAGTCTAGAACACATGTGTCAAACACAAGGCCCGCGGGCCAAATCCGTCCCGCCAGGCCTTGCAATGTGGCCCGCACCGCGCTGTCATCACTGCACTCCGCTGCGTTTCCATCGCAGTGACAGTTTATGACTGTTCAGTAAACCATTCGGCCCACGATTTAGGCTGGATTTTAGATTTTGGCCCCTTTTCTGATTGAGTTCAACACCCCTAGTCTAGAATACAGAGATTTTCAAAGCATTTATAATCAAACTGCATTTCAATAACCTGGTATATTTAGTAGGTGGGAGCTTACTTAGAAACAAGAAATTTTAACAAGCAGACTAATCACCCCCATGCATTTCAGTCAGCTCAGTGCACTGTTAAATTTTACTCTTGGCTTCTATTGTACATGAATTGCCTGTCGTGTTAGTGTCTGCCTCGGAGAATGTTAATTATGTTTTTTCCCTTCTTTCAGGCTAACGTTCTTCATCTGTTCTGTTGGTTTTACATCCCCGATGCTGTTTGATGAGAGGAAGTATCCCTACCATCTCATGCTGCAGAAGTTTCTCTGCTCTGGAGGCCACAATGCTCTTTTTGAGTAAGGATCAACTTCTAAGCCACCTCTCTTGTGACATTGGGATACATAGAGACAACCGTCGGTTGTACCCTTACACATTTTGGGCACTAGCCCTTATTTCCCTCCATCTTTCTTGGATTCAGCCTTTCTAGAGGTGTTTGTAAAGGGTCTCTGCTTTTCCTCATTTGGTTTCCAATGTCTGGTACCTATTTTTTAGTAGGCTTATCCTTTTCTGTTGTTTCTCAATATGATTTTTCTGATTCTCGGTCAAAATTTTAATCTAAGCTTCACTTTTTGTTTGTTTATTTTGGCTTTAAAAACGAATGCTAAAAGTGGTAATCATTTTTCAACATGTATGTGTATCAAATCATAACACTGTACACCTGAAATTTACATGTTACATGTTAATAATATCTCACAGCTTGAACAAAGACCGAAAAAGTTAAATCTAATAAATGTGGGACAGATTAGAAGCAATGGCTCCAAGGGGAGGGACATGAGGTGCCAACATAAAGACTAGGAACCTATCAAATGTCCTTTTTACCACTACCCCATCTAAAATACTAATGTTCTCTCTCCTTATTTTTTCTTATTTGAATTTAGAACTTTCAACTGGGCTCTGTCCATGGGTGGCAAAGTTCCTGTTGCTGAAGGATTGGAGCATTCAGACTTACCTGACGGCACAGGAGAATTCCTAGATGCTTGGCTTATGTTGGTGGAGAAGATGGTGAATCCTACCACGGTGCTTGAATCACCACATTCACTGCCTGCCAAATTGCCTGGAAGTGTCCAGAACTTTCCACAATTCAGTGCCCTCCGATTCCTTGTGGTAACTCAGAAAGTGAGTATTCAGCATTCTAAAACCAAGAGGAATTCCTCATGCTGATATAGATCACTCCTACTCTGTTTTGTCCTCCTTGATTAAATACCTTGATGATTAGACAACTATTAGAGTATATTCCCAGATAGGGCTGCATTACAGAAGGGAATAGGGATCATTTGAGAATTTTCCACGGTGTAGATATTTGAACCTTAAACTTCAGATTGATATTTCTAGGTTGCATTAAATGCCCCTTCTCTGTGCT